CAATAAAGTAAATGACGACTACGAGGAAGCCGTGAACATAAACAACAAGATATTAACTCCCTATAAAAAACAATTAAATGATATAAATGTTCAAAATAGATTACTACAGATTAAATTGAACCAAATCACAGAGAGTTATAACAACCTTAAGACCAATTTGGAATCGAGGAAGACGCCAATTACAAGTTTTATAGGCAGTAAACTACATAAAAACAGAAAACTTTTTAAAAAAATTAGACGGCAGGCTAAACTTATCAAAAAGATACATAAAGAATATACAAAATTAAAAAGAGGATCAGCCCACCCAAACCTAATTATAACAAATAATCCAAAAATAAGAAATATTCAAAATAAATATATAGACAAAATAGACATTGATATTAATAATTTAAACAATCGGAAACAAGGAAAACTTTTAATTTTCTCTGATGAAACAGGACGAGGAGTAGGCGAGTATTTTAAGCGAAACTGTCCCGAATTTGACGTCACTAACATATGTAAACCCTATGCTAGTACTGATAAAATATTGGAAAACTTTAGGAAATATGTTTTGGGTTACGGAAAAAATGACTTGGTTATTATATTGATTGACGAATTCAGTACGAATAAAAATATAACTAAATATCCTCAACTTTTGAGTAATATCTTACATACTGATAGCTCCCGTGAATATGGAATAATGTTTGTAAGTTTAAAGTATAATAAAAGGAACGACTTACATATATATGATATTAATAAAAAGTTATATTCTTTAGCTACCAATTATAATAAAATAAAATACATTGAATCAAATGACGATAATGAGGGTATCCATCCACGTAACAGGAAGCTTCTGATAATATCAAATATGATCAACAATAAGTTTCAAAATTCATCTTCACTCAGCTTTCTCAAGTATCATAGTGAAGAATACAACCCTGAAACCCAAAATTTTACAATGCTGCCTCCACTAAGGATGAAGAAATAATAATTTTACATTCTAATGTACAAAGCATGAATAATAAAATAGAAGACATTGAATTATTAACAAACAGTATGAATTGTGATGTGATGTGTTTAAGTGAAACTTGGGTGTCCGAGTTGCAAATTAATATAATAAATATTAATAACTTTCAATTAGGGTCATATTTTTGCAGAAGAAAAAATAAGCATGGCGGTGTTGCCATATATGTCAGAAATGAAATGAAATATCGCACTAGAAATGATATAGGACGTTTATCTGAAGAGTTACACTGCGAATTAACAGCAATTGAACTGAAGTCATCAAATACTATAATTGTTTGTATATACCGGGCAAATTATGACATAAATATATTTTACGACACGATTTCTAAAGTTTTAAATAAAATCAGTAAAGAAAATAAACAAATAGTTTTGTTAGGTGTCTTCAATTTAGACTTCCAACTTAAAAGTAAACATTTAACAGACTTTAAAATAATACTAAATAATTTCGGCATGAAACACGTTCTTATCAAAGAGCCTACTCGTGTTACAGAATGTACTGCATCTTGTATAGATAATTTTGTAACTAATTTTCATGACAAATCTGTGAAAAGCAGAGTTCTAGACTATAAAATATCAGATCATAATGTTATTAAACTTAGTTATACATGTAAATCAAAACATAATGGTAAAAAGGATGTTAATAATATTTTTATAGGACGTAATTTCTCTAAAAGTAACTGTTATTATTTTCACTATCTAGTAAACACTGACAAACATTTTTATGATGAAGTAGATAATTGTATTGACTCAAACAAAAAAGCTGAGATTTTTATACTTGGATTAAAATATTTTTATGATATCGCATTCCCTAAGAAGAAAATGTATGTAAGAAAAAACCAATCTAGATGGGAAACCAAAGGAATACTCAAATCAAAGGACACTTTAAATAAACTCGAATTATTACAATGCATTTACCCATCCAATAGACGAAAACAAAAAATCAATAAATTCAAAAAATGTTTAAAAAAAGTAATGGTAACTGCGAAAAAAATACAGATATCATATAAAATTAAACAATCCAATAACAAGATAAAAGAATGCTGGAATATAATTTCTAAGTTGACGCGAAACAATGGAAAACAATTCTCAAAAGGTACGATTGACAAAATTAAAACAGAAAATGGAACAGTTGCTACAAACCCGATTTTAATCGCAAATTTTTTAAATAATTTTTACTGTAATGTTGGAGAAAAAATAAGCAATACTGTAAAGATGGACAAAATAAAATGCACGAAATTTCGATCCATGATAAAAAAACCATGTACATCACTAACTTTTCATGGAATTACTTTACAAGAATTGGAATATATTATGCGCTCTATAAAGTCTAAAAAATCTAAAGATATTTATGACATGGATTATAGAATAATTGAATTAATATTAAATAATGACAAATTAATTAATTTATTACTTATTGTTGTAAATTCATGTATTGACGAAGGAGTATTCCCGGATGTTTTCAAATTTGGTAAGATTATCCCAGTATTTAAAAAAGGTGACGCTGAAGAACCTACAAATTATCGTCCAATATGTATTTTGCCTGTACTTTCTAAAATTATGGAAACAATATTAAAGAAATATATGGTGCAGTATTTCGAGGAAAATAATCTCTTCACTGACAAACAATATGGTTTTAGATCAGGAAGGTCGACAGGTATGGCAATTACTAACACCATGGAATTTATACTGGAATCTCTTGATAAATCTATGAAATGCGGTAGCATTTTTTGTGACCTCACTAAAGCCTTTGACTGTTTGAGACATGACATATTATTTGATAAATTAGATTACTATGGACTTAGACATAATGCTATTAAAATAATGAAATCATATTTAAATAACAGAAAACAGATAGTATCGTTAAATGACAATACAGTATCAGAAATGCAGAACATTAGTATTGGTATTCCTCAAGGTTCCATCCTTGGACCTATTCTTTTTCTTATATATGTAAACGACCTGCCAGCTAATTTACCAGAAGAGGCGTGTGTAACTTTATTTGCAGATGATACGCATGTAGGAATAAGAAATACAAATAAAACGGAACTAGATAGAATGATGACTAACACTGTAGAAACGCTGCATGAGTGGTTTCAATCGAATGGTATTGTATTAAATGCCGCTAAAAGTATTTTAATGTCTTACTCCACCAGACGTAAGAAGCAAAATTCTGTCTGTTCTGACAACACATATAGTCAAAGTACCACATTTTTAGGATACACTATTGATAGTACAGTAAGTCATGCATCACATATCGAGAGATTATGTAATAAATTAGCATCAGCCAATTATGCTTTGAATAAACTGAAGCAAGTATTATCAAAAAAAGTACTGAAAACTGTGTACTTCGCATATTTTCAGTCTTCATTGTCATATGGTATTACAGTCTGGGGTAATGCAAGTCTCATAGCAAAAGTCCTGAGGCAACAAAAAAGAGCTATCAGAATTATATGCGGAATCCATAGACGCACCTCTGTGAGACCGTATTTCATTGAACAGCGTATAATGACAGTTACATCATTGTTCATATACTATTCCTTGTTAGACATACACGAAAAGAGCAAAACACTGCGTAAAAAGGCGGATAACCATAATTACATGACACGAAATGGACATAAATTAGAATTACCAAGATTACGACTTACAAAAACAATAAAACAAGGTATTTACTTAAAAATAAAAATGTACAATAAACTATCAAATAAAACAATGCAATTAACATCAACAGAATTTAAGAACAAAATAAAATCATATTTCGAACAACATCCTTTTTACAATGTGACGGAATATCTGAATTCCAATGTACAATTATGACATTTTCCATTAAGTGACTTTTATTACTATGTTATATATTATTTAATTTATTATTTTGAATACTTAAAATTGTAATTGTGACATAATTATCTTGAAAATGTAATTACTATTGACATGCTGTTGTGTAACGAGATTTGTTACATTTGTGAATAAAGTAATATGAAATATGAAATATTCATCATTAACTATATCATACTAAACAAGGTTACGAAATTAGATTATATCGTATCGTATTCGTACAAATATTCCTATTTATTTAATTAAAATTTAGAAAATAAATACGGCTTTTTTTTAATATAACTAAAGCAGGTTGATGGATAATGTAAATTTCATTAACATGTAAATAAACACATTAGAAACATCCGGCTTCGTTAGCCTGGAACCTGTTATCTCTTATTCCGTAGGTAATTTCCAAGAACTCTTCTTGATGGATGTTTATATCACATAAGGTGCTCGGTGCAAAATTTTAGGACCTTTCCTATTCATCCTGACGTAAGTGTCGTCTTGGAAGACGTGAATATAGTATGAGAAATTCAAGGTGTTTATTCATGTCATTTAAAATCCGGTTACCTATTCATGTTAAAGCGCCAGTCCCATAAATAGACTTCACTGAAATAAAAATAGACTTTGTACACATAATAATAATATACAATCTTATTAATATATTAAACGTGAAAGTTTGTGAGTATGGATGGATGCTAGTTACTCTTTCACGCAAAAACTACAGAACTGATTTTGATGAAGCTTTACAGTAATATAGCATAAATATCAGAATAACATATAGACTATAAATTTCACGCGGGTGAAATCGCGGGCACAGCTAGGATATAATATTAGGAGAATACTTTAAGAGAAAAATTTATTGAAAAATACAATTTAAGCAAATTTAACTTAATAATAAACATAACAAATCAGTACTTGAAATCTTTATGGAAAAAATATCGCGTATTAAAAGTATTATGTGTATCCATCAGATTTCATCACAGTTCGGAATTTGTTTGATGAGATAACATAAGATACCGTTAATCTCATAACCCGATACTATATTATTTTGATAGTATATGTAATATGTATACATATACCTCAAGCTCATTCATAATAAGAACTCATACAAATTAAGTATGACAAACTTAGAATAGGTACATTCGTCTCATGAATAATGTGGACATAATTGATTTTAGTATCCTATAATTAACTTTCTACGTGTATGGTGTTATTAATAAGTGCCAGCAAACAGTCAATGTAGTGATTGTGTGCAAATTTAAGTATGGGAAGAAGAAACCTCAGTATGATGCGTCTAGGCAGATGCGTCGCCTTCTTGGCTGCAGCGGCGTTCCTATTGCCTTTCACAATACTGTTGATGGTTGCCGATCAACAGTATCATCTAACTTACAACTCCAAGCGTGTATTCTATCAAGAGGTAAGTAATTTAAAGATTTACTCTCCTTGGAGTCGTATATACTACCATCACGATTGTTACTAACATTATTAAAGCATGATAGAAATGACAGAAACATTTTAAATAATTATGTAAATTTAAAGGGTCGGATGTTTTATATACGTGTATTATATAACAACGGTGTGAACCGCTCAAATGGTCATTTTCAATGGTACCGTTCACAATATGCTGTGAATCACCCATGATTTTTTATAATGGAGCTATTTGCAGCACCGTATTAAATGCCTCCGTGTTCTTTTTTTGAACGGATGATTTGAACTTGTCATAATTACAGTGACACGAATAGATCCAATATAAAAAATGTAATGTACATTGAAAATTGTTAAACTAACCCTCTTATTTATAGAAACGTCAAACGTTTAATAAACTCATAAATTGAAACCAGGTGACAAAATAGTTTAATAAGTAATTATTCAAATTTTTTGTCATCTGGTTTTAATACATTTCCTTCACTTAAAAAATATACCTAAATACTCTTCTAGTTAACTTGGGTTCGTTTATTCGTGAGAAGTTTAGCTGTTTATACATTATATTAGATAAGTCAATTTCGTAATCATAATTAAGATCTAATGAGATCCATGAACCCTATTTGTATTGGTATAAGAGCCTCAAAAATTCCTAACACGACACATAGCTACGAGTATAAATATATAATATGCAAAACTGAAGACGAATAAAATATCTCCAATGGTTAAAAGGCAATCAATCAAGATTTCAGGTTAAATTTCTTTTTTTACAGAGCGACTTCTATAAAATAAACGGGACGTATTATGCGCCCACATTCGTGATAACAACACCTACATTATCACGGACTCAGGTAACGGACTTGAGATTACCAACTCCCAACACTCGTCCAACTTACACCAATTTGATCTCATATCATGTTTGGGACAACAATAAAGATTTGATGAAATTTGAAACCGATGTACTAATATTATTTTTGTCTTGTCACGTGAGAATTCACTTAATGTAACTAAAACTTGAATTTTATTTCGCGTGTTATATTGTCATTAAATGTTTTATTTAATCTAGTACTTTAGAATCATACGGTCTTATAATAAATGGAGTGAATATAAGGCATCCATATTATAAGCTCAGGAATTATTGTATATCCCTTAAACATGACAAGACTGATGTATTAAGGGGTTAATTTAACTTCTATAACTATCCTATCTCTGTGTATATTAAATACATACCAGTAAACTTCACTTCTAGTCCGATATTAAATATTGCTTCTTTGGATTGACGGTGATAGGTTTCATAATTTGAAAAGATTACAAAAGCAATGATTTCTTGCTTATTATTATTTGAATATTATGCTATGCTAATGTGAGCTTAAGATTATTAATCTTACTTTATAAGTACTAAAGATATTTCAAATAGTAATTCAAGCGTGAGTTTCATCAAAGCCTTAAAAGTTGGTTGGAGTTGGAATGAGATGTTTTGGAGCGTTTGTCACAAGACACCTAACCAATGCTAACACTTGCACCAATGCTTAAATCAGTGATGCCAGATTAAATGTTTTCCCCCCAAATTTGGGGGGATTTTTCTTCAAAACCTGATTTTTAGCAGGATTATGGGGAAAATTTGGGCGGAAAGCAAGACGATAATCTGGCAACACTGGCTTAAATGGAACTAACTGCTAAAAGGTCTGGGTAACGACTGTGCACGAAATATAATTGTTCATTCATTGAATTAATCTAAAACACTCAATAAACAGAGTTGATTAATGTAATAAAATCATGCAAGTTTGATATTATGTGTTTATTATTATGTTAACTGCGTAATGATATAAAAATAGATATACACTATTGTTAGAATGTTTAATAATAAGATTTGTTAAAAAATATGTTTAAGAGACACATCTTTTAAACATATTTTTTGTTTCTTTAAAATATATTTTCATAATTTAAATATTGAATAGATACATTTTACGTGAATAAATAAAATGTCTGACTGAACAACATGATAATACAAATAATAAATATTAAAGCAAACGAAAAATTACTGTTCAATTACGAACCTCCATCTTATTTGAAATGGCAACTAATTTTACTTTTTTACTAGTAACAAATAGTTCTATCTCCAACTAGTGTCTATTACCTACAATTAACCTACATTTTTGGCTAGCTGCACCGTCCGAACATGTAGAGTTATCTCTACATGAAAGCCTTACAGTAGCATCATAAGCCGTATTCCTGCTACTTATATATACTATCGTATAGCCAAATACTATGTCATGCATGAGCATATATTATAGCTATACGCCTATTATTTAAAAAGATGTAATGTCAATATGTACACAGTCGCTATAGAATCAAATTTACCCAAGTATAAGGCATATGTATGTATTCATTTCGAGCTCTCACATGGTGTTGTTTTATATTCCCTTCGTTTACTCTTAACTTCAAAATAAAAAATAATATTTAATAAATGTCACATAATGCATATATTCGTTGATTTTTAATGTTTCTTTTTTATATTATTTAAAGGTAATTTTTTTAATTTTATACATACAGTTATAATCGTTCGAAATATTGATTACTATTTCAAGACGGTGTATAGAGACTACAATGAATGAATGTCAAAGAGCAACCGTAGGTCGGTACGTGTACCTATCGGTATTCATGTCGCAACCTCAGGTCACTGCAGTAACGGTTAAATAAATGCCATTAACAAATGAGTATTTTAATCTATGTTTATTGCTGGGAACAGCAAGCAGCAGTCTAAAATAAATTTGTCATTCTATTTGGAAGACTAAAATACGCAATAATAATATACTAACAATATCTGAAAATAAAAATTTCAATTTTTCTATGTATTTTGTATGTACCTATTTGAAAACTTTTCGTCATTTGAATGGTAGTTTAACATAGATCTAATATGTCTATTATAACAAAATAGGTGAAGTCCGAATGGGAATATATAGGTATTATTGGGTAACGTACAAACAGTTTATTTCTAGTTAATCGGATATAACAAAAATAAAAAATAAAATTCTACTGTACAACATAATTATAAGGAACCTACTATAATAAGAAAAGATAATTGGTAGGCCATTGTGCTAGTTTTATTCTGACTTTTATATAGCACACACAAAAAGTGTTAATATCGATCGAGTTATAAACATATGTAGTTTCTTCACACTTGGTGTATGTGTAAATTCCCATTACGAAGAATATACAAGAGTCTTATATTTATAACTTAAATTATACGGTTTTATTTACTTTGTGGCTAAAAAGTTTAATATATTTACCTAAATAAACCTAACTGATGGTCTTACAATAATAAGTACCTACCAACATTATAGTTATTTATTAAGTACGAGTATATACTTTTATTATTTAGTCGTAAATATGTATAGCAATTTTTTTTTATTATGCTACTGTGTATGTTGTACCTATGTATGTTGTATATTACATGTGTGCATGCTATAGAGGTCAAAAAATTAGAATATGTGTCTGTTTAACTATTTGTTGAATTCTTACCTATTTTCTGGACGATAAGCTTTATCACTTTGTCCAGGTTATTTTTAATGTTTAGATACTACCTGTTACTGATATAAGTTAGCAATTATAAATAATATAATAATCATAATATATATAATTAAGTGGGTTGAAAATTCTTTTTTTCAGTTCTTTAGTAATATTACCACAATATCAACTACTGAATTAAAATTAAAATAAACTTTTCAAATATATTTCACAAAAAAATAAACAGTTTGGTATGAGTTTTCTATTAATATTCATATTTTTATGATATAATAATATATAGTAACAGATACATAGGTAGATATTATTGACCTACGGAAAATTACGCAGTCGCAACATATGTACAAATGTTTACAATTAAATTGTCAAAACATATGCGTAAATATAACACTTATTGATAATAAAACACGATAACAAAATCGCCGCCAGTGAAACCCGCCGATTTCCCGTCCAATATATATTAGGTATGGGTGCATATATATATATATTTCTGATAATTAGCGATACAGTAGCATATTAATATTAAATTATTTATAATAGTTTTGTAAAATGATTTATTAACTTTTTGCTCTTCGATTGCACTTTACTAAACCTTTTGCTAAATTATATCTGATATTTCTGGCTTCCAAGAGCTCAAGTTATGCAATAGAAACCCTACGTTAATTAATGGGAGTCCATTAGATGTGAAGCAGAGTACACTTTTCAGTCAGCGCCCTATTAAAATTTACGGTAACCGCTGCGAAGAATATAGGTATGTAAAGTAATTACGATAAATATTATCCAATTAAAGAGTAAAGATTTTATTTTTTATTTATATTGGTTAATCTCCAGAAATTACTTAACAGATTAAAAAATAGCATATGTAAATTACATTATTAGCGTAACATCTAGTATACCCAGCTTACTATTTATTGTAATTTGTCGATGATTCTATTATAATCTTTTTCATACTAGAGCTTATAAGCTTACAATAGTTTTAGTTATTTTGATAACATATTTTTGTTATAATAAAGTAAGTAATCATATATTATACACTTCCAACAAATTGTTACATAAATAACTAGAAATGTCTTTTTATTTAAACTGGTACTTTATGCCATTGTATATAATAATATAAAGCAGCTTGTTCGACAGTTTTTTACCATTTGTGTGTTTTTTTATTATAACACACAAATAGTAAACAAACTGTCGAAGAAGCTGCTTTATTTGTTGTCTGAAATGACTGAATCTGAAGTGTTTTATATCACGTCTCTAATACTTACCTACAATTTACATTACTATAAAAACAAAATATGTGTACACTTCACATAGATTTTTACATTTAATATTATAAGAGGTAATAATATTACAGTATTAAGATTATGTTATAACATACAAAAGGATATTACATGTACTTGTACACAACATGTATACAACATAAGATAAACTTACTCCATAATATTTTATATTTTCGAGGGTTACAGAAGAGTCAATACAAGGAGGCAGTAACACTAGGGTTGCTATAATATTAAAAGTACATGGACCACATGACAAGACTCCCTTATTCTACATTAAATTTGATTAATATCTGTTCAACCGTTAGTCGTAAACAGGTAAAAAACAGATAAACTGACATACATTCTGAATATGAGAAAAGTGCACGAAAAATTCTAATTACATTATATAAAAAAATTTGATTAAACGATAAAACTTTTTGTATTAATAAACGAAAAGAAGGTAATTACTGTCCACTTTTAAGATGCTGAACGTTAGTTTCAAATCGGAGTGGTGACGGATGGCAGCCCTAGATTAAAGTGCCGAATGGCGCAGTGCGACAGTAAATTGGCTGCATCGGAACCTCTCCATGGAGAGACTACATAAAAATAAACACGTCGTCACTGTCGCCATATTGTACAGATTCAAATTTAAAAAGAAACAGTAAACAATCCATTTTATATTAAATGTATATCATCATTATCATACAGTTACAAAGTATCGTTACAGTTATCATTAGTACATGGTATAAAACAAAGTCGCTGTCATTGTATGTCCCTATAGGTATATGCTTAAATCTTTAAAACTACGCAATGGATTTTGAAGCGGTTTTTTAAATAGATAGAGTTATTCAAAGGAAGGCTTATATATATAAAGCGAGTTGGGGCGAGTAGCTAGTTTAGAAATATAATTAACATGTAATCCCTGTCTATACTTACATAGAAAATCATCAACGTAATGAAACAAAAATCCTTACTCCTTACTAATATTATAAATTCGAAAGTAATTCTGTCATGTCGCGCATTCACGCCATAACTACTCATCTATTTAAATGAAAGTATAGACCCTGAAA